TTGTTTGTTTTTTCTCTCTTTTTTGTTATTCTATGTTTTTTTTTCTATCTTTTTGGTTAAATTTTCTGCTCTATGGTTCAAATGTTTGTTGTAATGCTGTCGCTGATACCGTCATCATCATCATCATCATCATCATCTTCGTTATTGTTGTCCAGGGATGAAAAATGATGATGTTCGGCTTGGATATGGCGTTTGATTTTTTTTTTCTAAAGGCTTCATACATATTTTAAAATAATCGGTCAGTTCATTTTGGTCAGTGGTTGATCATGTCAAATAGAATTTGAAGCAGAAAAAAAATTGTTATGAAATAAAATATGAACCAGAAAAAAAAATCTGAATATATATATATTTAGTTATGCGAAAAAAAAGAACATAACAAAAGTTCAATAATAATAACAACCAAAACAATAAAATTGAACAATAATAACCGAGTTTGATTGCTATTCATTATGTGGCTACTCGTTTTTTTTTTTGTTTTGTTTGGCTCCTGTTTTATGATCCAGGAACATGGACATGGAATTTTTTTTTTGGTGTTGGTGTGGTAAATTACCTTGTTCATTCATATAAATAGTTACATTATAAATGATATAATAATATTCTGTTCGTGTTTTTTTTTTTTTTATTATCTATTTTGTTTTCAGTCAATCATTTTCATGTTTCAATTAAATTTTTTGTCTTTACAGAAATTAGCAAAAAAAAAAAAACACTAAAATAAATCAAAAAACACCAGATGGATGTTTGTTGTTGATTATCTCGATGAAATGTCAATTTAATGGTAATTTTTTACACAGAGTTGATGATTGGTACAAATTTATAAAATCTTATTTGTTGTTGTTGTTAAAATGGACCAGATTTTTATCCATTTTTAGACCACTACTTGTCTCAAACAATTATTTTTATATCAAAATGATGATGATAAACACGTTTTTTGATCACCATTTTTTTCTGGTTCAATATATATATATATTATCGTTTTGTATATTGATGTTTGGGTATATGATACACCACACACACACACACACACACAACATGCTACAATGTTCATCTTTTTCGTTTTTTGTTTTGTTACGGTTGATTCATTTTGGTGGATGTTTCATCGATTTGTTACGATTGAACAAACGAACGAACAAAGAATGGGAAAAAGAAAAAAAAACCTGAATCATAAATAAGAAGAAAACAAAACAAAACAGAAAAATCTTTTCTTTTTTTTGGTTTGGTTAGCATTATATATTATATATATATAACCAATTCGGTCATAGCCTGTCAAAGATTTTTTTTTCTCTTTCAAATAAAACGAATGGATGGCCAAGAAATAGATGTTGAGAGATGTCTTATAAGTAATATTAGATTACATCTAAAAAAAATGTATAGTTCACACACACACACAAAGAGAAGAGACAGAAAAACAACGACGACGACGACAACGAAATTCTTTATACTGTGCTATATCAACATCTCATGGTGTATAGTGTGCTTAGGTCAGCGGAAAATTTTTCCATTTCAAAAAAAAAAAAAAAAAAAAATGAATGAATTGAAAGAACCATAAACCAAGAATATACACACACAAACAGACCAGAAACAAGGATCCCGTTGTGTTGTAAAGAAGTTGAGTGTGTGTGTGTGTGTGTGTGTGTATGTGGGTGAGTGGGCGAATGAAAAAAAAAAAAAAATAAGAAACCCCAATCATCATCATCAACATCGGCATATTTTTTATGTATCGTATCCTGCAGATATATTCAGGAATCACATATTGAGAATGAAATAAAGTGAGGAAGTTAGAACAATTACCATAACATTTCTTTTTTTGTTTTTCTCACATACAAACAATATACAAATATTTTACTTTCCTACACACACAAAAATAATGTTTGCGTGTGTGTGAGTGAGAGTGTGTGAATGTGCATTATTGATTTCTGATTATTGAATAGAAATTGTTGTTGTTGTTGTTTTTTTGCATCTTATTTGCTTGTTTTAATATTTTACGGTGAACAAAAAAAAATATTGACTGAATGAAGAAGAATCGTGTAAAAAAAAACTTGATTATCGATTCTGAATCATTCAATTTCTCTCTCCAAAACATCAACACCATCATCATCATCATCATTTTATTTGTCGTCATTGTAAGTTTTCATCTCATTATTTGTGAAAATAAATGTCGACTCAAAACTAGAAATTCATGAAATGTGAAAGAGAAAATTTAGGAGAGAAAAAAAAACACAAAATTTCAACAGCAATCAATATATATATAACATTTAATTCTGTTGAACATACAAATTTATTTTTATATCGAAATCATCTATATATTACACATGTATAACATGAAAAAAAAGTATAAATCGTTTGTGTTAATAGGTTCCAAATTTGATCCATGATGATGATGATGATGATGATACACTTAGGACCAATCGACAAATAATAATGATAATAATAATTTCCAGCAAAAAAAAACTTTTTTTTTTTGGTCATCAAACTTTTGGCAACTAAAAATAATAACCAATTGGCAGTTTGAACATAAAAGTAAACTAGGCACACAAATGAAAAAAAAAAAAGAAGAAAAGAGATTCGAAACGAATCAGCCAAACAAGCAAGATAATCAAATGAAAATTGATTTTTTTTTGCCCATACACTCCTCCTAGTTTTAGTATTTTTTTTTTTTATTTTGCCCAATGAGATATTTTCACAGAAATGAAAAATTTCTCTACAAGTTTTCATTAGTTTTGTAACCTTTTTTATTCGGAAAATTGCCGGTCAATTTTTTTGTTGTTGTTGTTGTTGTTACCATCAATCCACACATTCGAATTTAGGTGGATGATAATACTCACTACTAGCTCACTACTATGATCATCAGTCATAGTTACCAGAAGAAATGAAAAAAAAAAAACAAAACAAAACAAAGTATAATAAGAAAAAAATAATGATGATTATATAAATAAATATACCAGGAAAAATAAAAAAGAAAAGAAAAGAAAAATACTGCTAAATTGGTTATATATGAAACATACCATTTCATCTGGTGGAAATTATTGGATGAAATTCCAAATTGGATTGTAGGATCACCATGGTAGTAGTATCACCGAGAAATTGGCTTTTCTCGATTTCAACATTGGATAAAAAAAAATGAAATTTTTCCACTTTTTTTGTCTTTTCTCATTTAGAATCGGACAATATATTGTACACATATGATGATGAACAGAATGCCACTATTTACACGCCTTCAGGATAAAAAGTGAAATGTTAAAAATAAATGAAAAATAACAAAAAAAAAAAAACAAACATAATTTTACAAAAAAAATATGAAAAAAAATTAATTCTGTACCACAATGCGGGAATGGGTAGAGTAAATAATGAAAGTAACCAACCAAAGGCTACAAATACCAAAAAAAAAAAAAAAAATTTCATTCAATTCAACCCCAGTATAGTTTTTCTTTACATTCTATATGAATAGACACTATTCCTTGAATATATTGGCTCAGAAATATTTTGTTCATCTGATTCTTGATCATAATGACGTATTTAGATTGATGAAATTCTTGAAAATAATTTTGAAAAAAAATTGAATCACAAGGTCAACATCGATATTACATTGACCTTATTGAATTACAATAATTTTTATGAATTCTTCCATTCGTAAAGAAATGTTTTTTCTAAATTGTTTTTTTGTTTTTTCATTTTTCTTTCTTTTTATCATATTTAATAAACAGAATTATATCTACTCATTCTTTGCTCTAAACAGAATGTCGTGTACGATAAAACGATTATCACCATCATTACCATCATCATCATCATCATCATGGATAAATGGAACGACAGTAACAACAACAACAACAACAATGAAAATATTGAAATCAAAATGGAATGAAAATCACAATAGTGAAAGAATAAACATCAATACTACAAGCCAAATGCAAGAAAAATCCAAAACGGCCTACAAACAACAACAACAACAACAACAACAAAATGGACATAGATGGCTATTAATCAATAAATAGCAATAAAAATGACGGCAGCTATTGAAAAAGACCAATCAATTTCAGCTTCATTCTGGTCATCATCATCATCATCATCATCACAATCATCGACATTTTTTTCTTTCTCTAGTTGCTCATTACAACAACAACAACAACAATTTCACTACTCATCCACATCATCAACAGAATCCAAATCATTGCAATCATTCTCATCATCTATAATGCGCTTCATTAAATTGGAACGCCATCATCGAAAACAACAACAACAACAACAACATCAAGAACAACTAAAACGACGACGGCTACAAATACGACAACGTCATCGAACGAAAACGTTTCTTGGATCATCATCATCATCATCAGCACTATCAATCGACCATGATTTGAATTATGATTCTTTTATTCGAGAAAATGATAATAATAATATCATAGTTGTTAGCGACAATGACGATTATAATGATTGTGATCTATTAGAAGAAGAAGAAAATGAAGAAAAAGAAGAAGGTGGCAATAGTGGAAAATGTGGTATCCATATTTTCAACGAAAGCGATGGCGAATTCAAACAATTTCAAAATATAAACATCAACAACAAAAATAGAAACAAACATCATTATCAACATGACAAAAACAATGGCCATGATGATGATGGTGATGAGAATGATGATGATCATCATGAGAATGATAGTAATAATAATAATAATAATCATAAATTGTTGAGAACCATCATCATTGATCCGGTTTATTCAACCATTGATAGTAACGAATCTCATCATTGTTGTTCAACCAAATCATCGTTATCATCATCATCATCAGCATCATCATTATCATATTATACATCTACGTCTGGTGCCCTTCTTCACCATCATCATCATCATCATCATCAAGGCTCTTCATCGAGTCTATTGCTCAAGTCAAGGGCCAAGATGACAAGAGCTATAGTTCCAATATCGTCAGTGACCTTATTATTATTATTATTATTATCTTCATTGAAGAATTTACTTTTAAATAAAAATCATCATACATCATTATTGCTTCAGATCATCATTATATTGATTTTATTTATGAATTTTGGTGCTCAAGCTAAAAATGATAAAGAAATTAGCGAACATGAGCCTGAGAATAAGTAAGTTTGGTTTTTTTTTTATTCTATTCTTTTCATACGAAATCAATTGTGAACATGGATTTAAACCCAACAAACTTACAACGAATACATTCGACATAGCGATTTGCATAATCGAAAAAAAAACGACAAATATGTTTATCATGGAAGAAAAAAAGGGACAAAAATTATTATCTTCTTTTTTTCACTCTTTCATTCTTTTCTCTTTCTCTCTTTAATGAATTCTTGATGGTTTATATATATATATATATGGGAATTATTTTTCAATGTAAAAAACATTATTCTCAATGAATGTTGTTTGAATACACACACACATACATTGAACAAATAGCAATCATCGAAGCAGAAAAAACCAATTGTTAACATTATTATTGAATTCAATCACAGGAAAATAGATGAACACAAGACTAAAAATACGAATAAGAATGAAAAAAAAGAAAAAGAAAATAAAGGAAGGAAAGAAAAACAAATTTGAAAATATAGTCAAACATTTCTAAACATTATTTTCATCACCATCAAGATCCAAAAAAAAACGTCGATGTTGGTGTTGGTGTTATAAAAAAATGAGAATGTGATTCAAAATAAATTCTATTTTCATTTTCATTTTTTTTTCTTTATTTCTATTTTTCCTTTCCTTTTCCAAAAATGAATGAATGAATGAATGAAAAAAAACATTCAAATTCAAATCAATTTCAATTTATAGATCTGACGCCTATAGTGACGCCGGTAGTAATATTACAAAAATTTTGAATGCCTTTTTCGATAGTGGCTATGATAAACGTGTACGGCCCGAATATGGAGGTAAGTTTTTTTTTCTTTTTATTATTATTATTATTTTTTTTCCAATTTCATTTCATTTTTGATTAGATTGATCTATTTTTTCCGTGCAAATATGTATAGTGAAAATGATGATGGTAAAAAATCTAATTAGTTTGAGTAAATTAAAAAAAAATTCTATAGCTTACCTTTGTTCATGTTTGTGTTTGAGTTTCATATATTCTAGAAAAAAAGCGAATAATAATTGATGAATCTGTGTGTTTGTGTGTGTGTGTGTATATATGTGTGATGATGGTATCGACGAATTCGAAAAAAAATTAATACATCCACCTGTATTATCACAAACCACATTTTCACAAGAATAACAAAGAGAAGAGAAAAAAAATCATTGTTATTTCAATAATCAATGAATTATCATCCATTGTCACGCGACAGGAAATTGTATTAGTAGTCACCATCGACATCATATAATGTCATCAGCCAAATGAAAGTCATCAGCCATAATCAGAGATAGCAATAGAGAATGTGAAAATGCAATCTGCATTTATTTATCATTGATCTGTAGACAATCAATGTATGGATTGTCTATTTTCAATTGAAAATTCAAAGAAATCGCTTTGTTTCAATGTTAACATCACCAAAAAATGACAATTATTTCAATCTAGCGTTACAATTTAATGACAAATCTTATTCAAGCTTCATCACACACAAAGATAAATCAAGCCTAATTGATTTTGATTTGGTATAATAAAACTATTAAAATTGAAATTATACAATTTCATCATATCGACACTGATGACAATAGTAATTAATGTCGTTTATGAATCTCATTACATAATTGATGGTGAACATGAATGATTTGAATTTGTAATTCTTTTATTTTTTTTTTGGAAATTCTACCACAATAATTCAGGCCAAGTTATTGTGATTATATATTGAAAATTTATTTTTCTCAATTCTCAAATTTTCAATAATAAAATAATAAAATTGATATTGATGATTTATATATTGTGATTTCGAAAAATTCACACCGACAGACAAATATTTTGCGATTTGTTTTTGTTCATGAATAGTTGTTGTTGTATACATTGAACATTTGACAACAAAATACAGAGAAAAAACTTGAGATTTTCATTTTTTTTTGTTTCGGTATTACAAGCTGTTTCAAGCTGTCAATTTTGGTTGCTGAATGATTTTGGAATATGAATCAATTTGAAATTGTTTTTGTTCGTTATACAATATATATATATATATTCGAGACTCCATTGATTGACATTAACAAAGTTTTATTTTCTGTTGTCGTCGTCGTTGTTGTTGTTCAATGTTGACATAAACAAAACCCCAAATAACATTTTTATCATTGGATTAGATTAGACAAACACGCACACACACACAGACGAAAAAGATGTATACAATCTCATAGTATATTTATAATAATAGAAATATTATTTCATTCTATATCAGTGAACGGAAATCATGTGTGCGTGTAACGGTCTTTTATGTATATATGATGCTTAATTTTATTTTTTGTTATTTGTTGAGAAAAATGAACAAAAAAAAAAAAAAAAAAAAGTTTTTCGTTTATCGATTAGAATAAATATGAATGAATGAATGAATGATTGAATTGGCCAACACGGTTTATCGTGATAGACCATCGTTCCATGAACTTTTGTTATGGATAAAATGTGTACATGTGTGTTTGTGTGTGTGTGTGTAGTGTCTGTGTAAAAAAATGATTAGAATCACGCAATAACTATAATGCATTGGACGATGATTTAAAACTTAAAACTTTTGATCAATAATCAAAAGATGAGAATAACAACCTGATATAGCAATACAATTCTATAGTAGAATATTCTATGAAACTTGATGTTCCTTTTTTTTGTCCATTGTATTTCAAGTGTTTTCCCCATATATATGGACGTGATTTTTTTCCATTTGACAAAACACAATACAGTCATAACAATAATAACAATAACGACAACAACAACAACAACAACAATAACAATAACAACAGCTTGAATCTGTATATGATTAATGCTCGATTCTTGAACAAATAAATAAACAAATCTAGTACTGAATAATAAAGATAGATAGATTGAAGTTTGCAAAATAATCATTGACGCCAATAATGGAATAGTAGTAGCAAATATATTTATGTTTATTCCACTATATCAGGTATCAGGTGGTCCCTTGTGATTTTAGTGAATAAAAATAATAAAAAGTTAATGCATCCAAGAACAAATGATATGATTATCATTTTCATGTGCAAAAACGTCAGACATACACGCACACACAAAGAGAGAGAGAGAGAGAGAAGAAGAATAATCATTTCAAACGGAAATAATTTTAATTGTAGACTTATACATATAAATTGTTCCAAGCTCTTGTTGTATTGGTATGAAAATTATTTGCGACACCCACACACACACACACACAGACAGACACCCAAAAATTGACATTTAAATTGGCTACAGCTGATAAGAAAAGTGATCCCTTTTTATCAGATACTACAAAAAAAAAAAGATAAAGAAACTTACAATCAAACAAAGATATTTCGTGTGTGTGTATGTGTGTGTAGTTAATGTATCATATAAAAGATGTGAAAATAATCTTGATATGGAAAAGAAATTGTCTGGAAATGATATGAAAGAAAAATTTCTTTGGTTCCATAATATACTCACACACACACACACAGTGGATATCATCACTGTATGTAAATTTTTCATCCATTCTGTTTGTTGGATAAAATACGTGTCGAGCAAAATACAGCGCCACAAACTATTGCTTCTAATCAAAACGAATACGTTTCAAAACAAATGTGTGCTGCTGAATCATCACCAGATACCATCACCTCAACTATTGAATCAGAGGTTGATGAAGTTGGCCGCAATATCGTCGATGAATCTATTATTTCTTGTTTACCTGGTATTTCCAGAAGGGTTGCTGATGATCAACAGCTTCCAAACCGACATATTGGCATCTATGAATCAAATTTTAACGGTGATACGACACAATTTCCATCCGAAAAGATGATGAACATCGGCGTAAACAACAAAATTCCCTTCTTTGGTTTTAAACGAATCGTGAATGAACATTACGTTCTTACCGGCAACAATGATATTTTATCCTGGACATGTGTTTCCAGAGAAGCCGAGATTTTATTGAAAAATATTGGATCATTTCCTATTGATGTTTTTAAATCATCGTTTTCAAATCGTGGTATTTTTAATGAAATCGGCCATATTATCGATCCGCCACGTAATTTTTATGATTTCAATTATCATTATTTCAACATGCAGCATATGGCTCATAGTGTCATGGCCTACCATCAGTCTGGTTCGAAACGAACTGAATCTGATGATGTTTATCGAATCAACGATTTGCCTTTATTGATTAAATCGGATGAAATTTTGTACAATTGTCAGATGAAGATGTACCGTATTGGCTATGATATTCCCGATCTCAAATTTTATCGTATTTTCACCAATATTGAATCGGATGACCATTCTCTTATGAATTATCAGCCTATTTTCAAATGTTTAATTCCTGACAAATATCCCGATTTGAATCGTTTATCAATTTTTAACAAAAGTGAATTGAATATTTTTCATTTTGTCAATCGTCAGATGTTTTTCGATCCTGTTCCTGATGAATTTTCTGTTTTCAATCATTCACTTTGGTATCATCTGATTCGAAGCTCTTTTGTTGGGCACATTATTTATGAATATTATTTTGGCCAACACTCGATATTTTCTGGCTTTATTGTCATCATATTTTATACCCCCAAAATACCTCAAAATTTGATTTTCATTTCTTATTTTTGCCAATTATCTGGCCAAACGATAAATGGTACGGGGATGACGCTGCATCGACACGATAAGCCGAATTATTTGCTGACTGATCACGTTGTTAAATCATTGAAAATTTTTATCGATCATGTCACAGCTGATTTTATTGATATTGGTTCACTTGCTCTTTATTGTATGAGCAAACGTTTTAATTTACCCCAACAGGAACCATATCGTAAGTTTTTACCTGAAACAATTTCTTGTCTCGTTACAGACGACGTCAATGGACGATCATTTCATGGAAATTTATTTCTGGTCGCAATTTTTGATTATTCTGTTTTTATGGAAAATCCATCTATTTTATCGTATGATTTTGAACGTATCGTAAATGCCTCCGTAGTCGATACCGACTATGATGTTTCATCTATCCGGACAGACCATCGATCTGTGATATTTGCCAAGGATGCTGTTTTGTGTCTGGCACGGCATGGCATAAAATCTGGTTTTATTTCTTCTGAATTGCCATTGCAACATGGTCTTGTGGATTTATTGATACGAAAAATTGCGAGCCAACCAATATTATTATTCTCGTCAAAATTGTTTGCTCTTCATGGTATAACAATCAACAATCATATGATCATTTCAAATTATTATTTTTCTATCGAGCAAAATTTTGGACGACGAATTTATTTAACGAATTTCCGTATTTTCACATTTATTGAATATTCCACGAACAATCGTGATGAAAACATTGTTAAATCAGTGAAAATCAAGTTTCTAATGATCGGATATTTTATTGAAAATTATTCATGTTATCGTTATTATCGACGCATTGAGCTATCCGATCCTATCACTATTTATGAAAAAGTCTCATGGAAGTCGTCACATCAATCGTATTTAAAGAAATTTACCGATTTTACAGCTATCAATGCTCTTTATCGTTTTAAGGTAAATATTCCCGAAATCAATGTCGATAATGGTGGAAGAAACAACGTAAAGATTATCACCATCGATTCCGGTGGAAGCATTTTGAATTTTCTCGACACAAATTGTGGTGGAAGCAGCATATCTTTAATTTTCGAAAAGTTTTCTGGTACTGGCAATTTGATCATTGCTCAAATTATTTATGAACAGTCTTATAGACGTTTACCAACAGCTGCTAAGTCCTTCCGTAGACAAAACGACATATTTTTAGCATCATTTGAAAGAAGTCTACGAACCACCGATCATTTA